AGTCACACATAGAAAACATTAGAGCCACTTCAACTTAATATGTATGTATATATGTACACATAAGCTGAAGTTTGCAATTTCATTTTCCAACATTAAATTCATTTCAAAAATTTTTCATATTTTCTTAATGCTATAAAATCTTTGATTTCGCTTTGAATAGTTCATTTACTTTTGATTATGATCTCTTCAATTAAATACGTACTATGTTGCCAAGTTTCATTTGTTTACTAGTAAAATTCTTAGTAAGTATACATGGAAAAATTTAATTAAATTTACTTGTACGGAAGACAAAAATATATTTTTTGTACAAGTACTTATTATCTATTTTTTTTATTAATTTTTTTTTGTATGTACAATATGTTATTATATATGAAAATATCTAGAAGAAAATTTTTGTATTTATTTGAAACTAAATCGAATAGAAAAGTGTACCTAAAATTTTTATAATAATTGCTATACAGGTTGTTTTGAAGAGTGTTGTTTTAAACTACACTAACTTTTACTAACTTATTAGCTCAAAATACAGCCTGCACTTTTTGGAAGTAACTTTTTTAAATAAAACATGGTAAATTATAAGAAGAAATAGTTTCAAACTCAATGCGAAGACATAAAGTGTTGCCTGCGGAAGATTTTATGAATGTAAAAAAACTATGCTTTTCATCTAGAGCTACTCAATGTTAATAATAATTGCGAAAAGTATATTAACTCTAGCAATATTCCTTTAATGATTTTTCTTAAAGATAAGTATTATTAAGTTCACGTAAATGTAAAGTAATAAAGAAACTAATTTTAAGCAATTTTCATATTTATAGTTTTGTGACATAATCACTCTTATGACACCTTGTGAATGCCCTAAATATTTTTTTGTTTATGATTTAAGAATATTATAACGAATAAATATACTTGAGTGTAATGAAATTAATAAATATTTTTATATATACAGTTTTAAATAAAATAAATAACAAATCAAAAAGATCCGAATGCATAGGTAAGTAATCAGTACCTTTTGAAGTACAATAAAATAAATAAAAAGAAAAAAGTCCAACAAGAGAAGGTACGAGAAGGCATCTATAAAGGAAAATGTTTCGGCAGCGTCGGTAAGTAGTCATTATATTTTGAAGCAAACAAATAAAATAAATAAAAAGAAAAAAGCCTAATGCCTTTCACAGCATCGGTAAGTAATCATTACATTTTAAAGCAAACAAATAAAAATATAAAACGTCTCACTACAGAAGGCGTCAGAATTTCATGCTATAAATGTCATAAAGCACAGAAAAAGTCATAAATTTGAGCCACTAACAAAATGAGAAAGAAAAAAAGCATGCGATTAAAAAATCTAAAATTCTTAAAAATTTCCCCGTGAATGTACATACATACATATACACATAATTCATTTTGATTTAACTGTCTACTTTTTAGAAGCAACAGATACATCAATTATAATCCAAACAAAATGTATGTATGTATATAAATAGCTTTTTCTAATTTAGTCACTTGTTTATAATTTCGTTTGAGAAATTCTACATATTTAGATTACTATATAAATTTTTGATATTTTTAATTTACACGAGTTTTTCATTTAAGAAATGGGCACTTTGGCAGATATTTATAGATAGGTTTTGATTTTGTATTTGTAAACAAATTAGATTTATTTATTTTTAGTTATAAAACTATTACTTATTAACTAAGTAAGGGAAGAATAATTTGACAAAAATTTATATTGTACAAACCAAAGCAAAAATATACATTTTTAATCAAAGTACACTTTGAAAAAAATTGCATAACTGAAAATTTTTGCAGTTTTTTCTTCAATCCTCTTCCCTTTCGTAAAGCTTTACTGAGCGCTTGTTTTCATACTATATATGTACAATGATTTTTCTTATTTTTTACTTAATACTTAAAGGACTTAGACAATACATACATAGTTTAAGCTAAGAAAATTTTTGTCACTGGGTAGTTCTCTATTTCAGAAAAAAATTGGTAAAGCAACTTTTACCATTTTGTCAGTCCGGTTACTTAACTATTGAATTTTTTGCGTATTTTTTTAACAAGAAAAACTATTTTCTTAAACTAAGGTTAACATGTACGTAAAAAGCTTTATTGTTCGGTCAGAAACAAAATGAAAATATTAGACTTTAATCAATTTACTAATATGCTTCATGGCTAACTTTTGAAAAAAGCAAAAATCGTGCACCAATTTTTTAGTCTTAAATTTCTTTTTCTTACATTGCGTTTCCACTTTCCCCAAATTGAGTAATTATGACACTCATTTGCAAAATGGAATAATAGCTGCTTCCATCATTCTCTACTGACCCTTTGGTAAGTTCAAAATACTACTTGAACTGTTTTTTTTTAAATAAATATTTTATCTAATTCTTTTAGTTTTAACTATTTCTTCATCCTTAGAATTCCTATAAGTTATTTTCAGCTTTTTAACATAATTTTCAATGGAATATACTATGTGAAAATGGCTGCAACTAACTTAAGAATCGACATTATTTCGACTATGAATATATATTTATATAATTCATATTCAACAAAAAAAAAAAAAAAATAGTGACAAATAAATTTTAAAATATACTTGAGAAAACGGCCTTAAAGTCGAGTACATGAAATTGAGAAAAGGTTTTATCGCCCAAATTGAGAGTCGTCTGGAGTTCGTGAAACCACAATTTAGTACATATTTACACACCTTATTTTTAGCTTGTTTTCTTGATTCATTTCCAATTCACTTTTGCAAAGTTTTTCTATACATATTTACATACTTAATATGTTAAATTGGCCATTTTAGATTTTTTTTATCTTTAATTATGCTAATGTTTTTTATTTTATAAGAAGAAAAAAAAGGTCATATACAATTATACTTTCCACAAAGAATGAGCTAGCAAAAACAAGAACATTTAAAAGAGAATAAAAATATTTAAAATTAAAAAATATTTTTAATTGAAAAAAAAAATAGTTATAATGCATTTCTATTGATATATGCTTACTGTTATATTACTTCATATAGCACATAGTATGTATATTTTTTTCATACATATATCTATTGGTTATATTGGCATGTATGTATATTCATATGTATGTAAATTAGTGGCAATTTCTATTTTCATGTAATTAAATTTAAACGAAACCTGCTGTTTTCAAAGGGCATTTGGTTTTATTCTTAAGGTTTTGATTTTATTAAAAAAAATGTATCACCACGGATATACATAGGTATGTAGATACAATAGCTTAACAGCACTTAAGCAGCCGCTAAAGTATACATAATATACAGTGCTATTATTACATTGCTGTTAAACTATGACATTTTCAGATAGATTTTTTTTTTTACAATTATATACAACATATCTACATAACTATATCTAAGGGTAATCTACCTACAATCGGTATAAGAATATTGATTCATGTCACACCTAACCTAGAGACTTTCAAGTAAGTTTTAGTACTTAATACACTTAACCCAATATAGAAATACACATACATACACACATATGTACATATGTATATAATTAAAGTAGTTAAATGGTATATTACATATACGTTAGATACCTATATTATTACGAAATCTTTTATCTACACCCACATACTACTTCGTTTCGCTTATTTTCATTATACACATGTAGATGCATAGCTAAGTAAATACATACGGCTTAATTACATTTCTCTGCCAATCCGATAATATTTATTTCTCCGCATACCATTCGTGCTGCTACTCTTTAGAGTACTTGCAAATTCTCGCAATGTTTAAATTTCGAATCCTCTTTACCCAGTATCCAGGTGAGCATTTGGCGTGCTTTCATGCTGGCCAACACAACGCTACGACTCTTATACCAATGCGCTGGCGAGGAGGCGCCATCTCGATTGCCCTGAAATTGTTAAGGATTTGAGTAAAAGATTAAATTGCGATTAAGTTGTAATTAAATGTAGTTTGAGGGGGTATGCATATATGTATTTACATTTGTATGAATTTACTTTTACATACATGGATATATTTTAATGAACTATACTTCAAATTAAAAAAAAAAAAAAAAAATTATCTGAGCGTCAGGATATTTGAAGGGGTAAAGTACGTACATATATTTTACACAATATTTCTATACATGTTTGCATGGAAGTTAGTGTTTAATAAAATGTATTAAATTTCAAAAGTTTGAACAGTACTATGTACTATAAATGCACTTTCGCTAGGGTATCGGCCCTATGAGCATGCAATACAGATCTTAGTGCCGGGTCCGTAAATACCCGCACATATTGGTCTTTTTTTTGACTTGCAAGCCCATTGGCACAGACTTCCTTAAAGTAGATTAATTTTGATTGGAGTCAAAAAGCCCGACAATTTTCATGTTCGAAACTCTTCCTTATTTTCGCGCAGACTGAAATGAACGAGGTAAACTCGAGCTCTCTGCCCCCTCTTATCCACCAAAACCGGTTTTAGGCGGACTGAGCAATCTAGTGTGCAGAGGCCCATTAACCTTGAAAGGGCTAAGTAGCCGCTGCAACAACAGCAAGCAATCGGTATGAGCAACACTAAAATTTTTATCTAATAGCGGTAATGGATAATGCTTAATTATATTTCTGTCATTAAAAACCTCTTATAAGCAGCCTATAGTTGACAACATTAATAGGTTCTATACAAATTGGAAGAGAAACTAAGGCAAACACTTAGTAAAATATGTAAATATAGGTATTTTTACTTATATGTGCGCAAACATTTACAAAACGAATGAAAACTCCTTCTTTTGTACTAAGTGCTACGAGTATTTAATTTAAAAATCATGCAAATAACTTTTATATGAGTTTTTTTACAAACAGGGCTTGTATAATTAAAACGTTACTTATATGTATACATTATGGTGGTGTTTAAAAAAACAACTTATGAATTTTGTATGGGGCACATCTTTATGCTGTTCTACGTTCAAAATAGAGGCATCCACGATATTTGCAAAATTTTAAAAAAATTTTTAGGATTTGAAATTTTTTTATAACACAGAATTTGACAAAAAATTTGACTTTGACCAGCTATAACTCAGCGTGTTGAAACTTATTCATATAGGTTCATAAACTAGCTGGGTTAAAGCCAGCCGAAGTCTAAATTTTGCAAAATTTTTGTGATTTAAAAATAAAATTATTATTATTTTTTAACCCTGGCAGCGACACACATTCTTCCTTTTTTGTTTTTTAAATTGCAATTCTCGTGCATGTCTTTATTTTGTACGCAGATAAGTATAAATAATTCTAAAGTCCCAACGTAAGTACTTAAAAAAATGTATATGCCGTTGCAAAATACGTATATAGTTTAAAAAAAATGTACAATTTGCTTAACTATAGCAGGGAAACAAGTATTTATAGAAGGGATCCAAAGATTTGTAGTGCGATTATTCGGTTCATATTTACTCACCAAATTTTCAGAATTTTTCTCATTTACACAATCAGCGCCATTATGCTCTAAAGCATTGTCAATAACTTTTTCTCTTTCTTTATATTTATTATCTTTATCTTTGTGCTTTTCTTTGGATTTTTTATTGGTTGTACGTAAAGTACCATCTGGATTCTTTTACGAAAATTATTTGAGTTATTGTTAGAGAAATAACAACGGAACGGGGTAGTTAGTGGGAGCCAGGTTTTCAAAGAGGTGGGAATAAAAGTTAAGCCGATCAAGTTGATAAGGGTAAACGTAATCGATAGTTGTCACAACAGTTTTAGGGAGAATACAAATTTTGAAAGTGTTGAAGAAAGGAGATTTTAAATTTATCCAGAAAAGTAATATTTGTTGCAATCATAAGGGAAATGATAAAGGTAATCGCAAAGGTAATTGCAGTGATGGTGAAAGTAATGGTGATGGTAGTGGTAATAGTAATCGTAATTGGAATAGTTAAGGCAATTAGAAATGGTAATGGGAGCGGTAATGGTAATGGTTATGGTAGAAATAATAGTAATTGTAGTGATAACGATATAATTAATAGTAATGGTAACGATAATTGTATTCGTAATGGCGTTGTAATGGTAATGTTAGTCGTTATGGTGACCACAAAAGCAATGGTTATGGTAATCGGAATGGTAATGGTGATCGTAGTGGTGATAGTAATGGCAGCGGCATAGTAGTGGTAATAGAAAAATAATGGAAATAGTAGTGGTAATGAAATTGGTAATGGCATTCATAATGATAATTTAATGATAGTAGTACGGGTAAAAGTAATCGTAATGGTGATCGTAATGGTAATGGGTCGGTAGTGGTAATAGTAGCGGTTATGATTATGACAATGTCATGGATAATGAGAATGGTAATGGTTATCACAATAGTAGTGGTAAAAGTAATGATAAAGGTATTGGTAATGATAACGATAATGGTAAAAATAATGGAATGGTAATGGTAATGATAATAGTAACGGCAATCGTAATGGTAATGGTAATTGTGATGGTAATGGTAATGACAATGGTAATGATAATGATCATGGTAGAAATAATGGAATGGTAATGGTAATAATAATAGTAACGGCAATCGTAATGGTAATGGTAATCGTAATGGTCAATGGTGGAGTGAGAGGAGCAATGTTATACGGAAAGGAAAAGATGATCATTGCATAACAATATGTGAATTGTCAAAAAATAATGTGTATGGCGATTTAGTTGTCGATAGCATGAAAAAGTAGAAGAATAAGAAAAGTTAGAAGCATTAATTATCTCGAAAATGAAGTAAATACAATAGTATGATATTGTGAAAGTTGTAGTAGTTACGCATGTATGAATGTAAATATGGCACAGTTTCAATATTTTAGAGGAACATTTTATCTATGCATTATTTGCCAATTTTGTAATATTAATTTTCAATAGCATAATATCTAATGATTCATTTTAACAGCCGCTACTAATTTTTTCGGTATCATTCTCTGCCCAAACAGGCACACATCCAATGTCTGACATGTACCTACATACAAACTCATTGACGCATTTACGAAATTCTATAAGCTCCACTTACTTGCAGTAAATTTTGATCCTTTTTGAGACGAATTTGTGTCAAAGTGCCAGCCAGTAAGTCGTCGCAATTGTGATTGATGCCAGCCGAGACTTCAATGAATTTCGCGCCAAAAGTGCAAGCGACACATTTGCCATCTGTTAGAAAAGAGAAATTAAGAAAAGGAGAAGAAGAAGAAGAAAAAACCAATTATAATGAATAAAGCAGAGGAATTCAAGGATAACATACGTATGAACTTGCATTAAGAAATTCCACGAAATGAGCTGATTTCGAAAAATTCGCTCGTTAAATTCGTGGTAAAAAGTCTGCTTTACATGCACGCATTTGCACAAACTTTCACTTCTTTTGCTATTTCAGCAAACTTTTCGTGCGGCATTGATTTCAGTGCATGCTCAGGCTTGTTTTTTTTTTTGTTCATTGTGCTAGGTATTTGTGCATTCATTTTCTACTTTTCTTGCTGTTCTTCACAAACTTTCACAAGTTTGCAAAAAGTTTGTCATGTTAATCACATATTTGTGGTAGTTTTCGTGCAACTGGTGTTAGAAGTTAGTGAATGAAAGCACATTTGACTGCACAGATTTTGTTTCATTAGCACACCTAAGAAAATTCAACCAAAGTGGTTCAGGTGAACGGCTGAACAATACTGCGAATCATAATTGCGCCGGAAATCTTTAATGCTTAATGTAAGGTAGAAATTATAGGAAAGGCATACATACAAATGTAATTACTCCGGGGCATTTCAACATGCCAATCAGCGACTGAATTGATTTCGAAAGTCTCGGTGCGTTATTTTTAATTATGTATGTACCTACAAACACCCACAACGGGTGTCCCACAAGTCCACTAATTAACTTACTTTCAAGTGTGCGTGTTTAAGTGTGCGTGAAGTCAGCCAATTAGCTAAGCTTTTGCGGTGCCTTAAAGTAGGCTCCAGTAGTTGCGTAATTTATTACTATTGAAGAGTTATTGAAGTGTGTAATATGTACATAATTAATGGGGTGGGCTGTTAAAGCTTACGCTTGAAAAACAATTTTTTGTTTTGAGTAAATGTAGAGAAGGACTTGGCTTCACTTGGCGTTTCCAATTGGTATCAGTTGGCACAGAAAAGACACGACAGGGCGTGCTTTGCGGAGGCGCCTACAGCGCCAAATAAGAAGAAGAACCTTAATATTTTTTTTTAATTCCGCACAAAAAGTGTCTCACAGGTGAGAGGCAAATATGGGTGTTTTCATGAAAATATAAACTAAAAATGCAAGTAAATGGGTTCAAACGACTTTATAACTGTAAATCTCGTATTAAGCTGGCGAAAAGAGGTTATGAAAACGCGAAACAGTGGAGAAGAACTGAAAAAATTATATGAAAAATTTAATTATATACATAAATACATATATATTATTAGTAACAAAATTGTGGGGCAGAAAAATACTTTACGTGTCCGATGTGTCACGTCCGTTATAACAATTTAATTCAAAATAAAACCAAAACCGTAATTTGAATTTATTTAAGGAATGTTTAAGAAAGGAAAACCTCACAGCTTTGCTTATTTTTAAATGTACTATGAAACCACTTATGTTTTTATCACTCCGTTATGACCTCATTTTCATCAATTTTCCCGACACCACCAAGCGCTCCAGATTTTTTTTGTAAACCAAAGGACGGTATGAAAGCTACACAACGGCACATTTTTTTATACTAAGCGCCTTCATTTTTTGTATGAATAAATCATCAACTCTAAAGTCATACGAAATACACTGTAGGGAAAATATTAAGTTTGAAATTACACAAAAAAACGCCGAAACTCGCAAGATATTTTAATATTTTATACAAAAAAAAAAACAAAATTTTAACAACAAAAAATAAAAAATAAAAAAATAACAAGTCTTTTGTAATTTTTTTCATTTGTGTTAAAGCCTATTCTTTTGCCAAGAAATTAAGCTAGTAACGATGAAAACCTATGTTATGTATCCAAACTTTTGAATGGTTAGGCGAAAATGTGCTATAATTTTTTTTTGTTGTTTTTTTTTTATGAAAAGGGATCAGGAAATAATACTCATACGCCATATCGTATATGGCCGTACTTGTGCATATTCCTACATGGCGTGTGGGTAACATTTGCCATGCTAAAGTGAGAATTTTTTATTTTTAATATTTTTATTGAGCTTTGTACCACGATTGTTTATTAGGAAAAATTGAAAAAGCAACAAAGTCTAAGCGGTAGAAGTTATAGCAGCTATTTCGGAGATCACCACATCTCTTCATCAGACTTCTTTTTTCTAGACTTCAGCAGGGATTGAACCTGCGAATTCGCTGTTCAAAGTCAGAAACGCTGACTTCAGCGCTCAGCGCTTCTGACTTTGAACATCGAATTCGTAGGTTCGATCCCTGCTGAAGTCTAGAAAAAAGTGAGAATTTTTTCATTCGCAATGCAAACATAAATTGAAAACATCTTCGGAAAATTATCTAAGTTAGAAAACCGGTATAAAGATCTACAACCAAATATTAAGTTTACATGTCTCGGCATTTTTTGTGTCATTTTAGTGTAATTTTGAAAAAATAATAAATAATTCATTTTCTGATCGCATTTAAAAAAAAAAAATCTGGCGCAGTACCTTAAGTATTATAAAAATTTGTGTAGAATCTATCACAGAATCTTCCAGAATGGGTAAGACTTTTTTTTAAGTTGAACCAGCTTTGAAAACAAACCGAAGAAAATAACAAAAACACATTTTTCCCATTCTGAAAATAATTTGCACTTTTTTGAAATACAATTGTGTTTATGTGAATTTCATTTGGCTTTTTCTGGAACACATTTGGCCTCTTCTGAAATAAATTTGAGCTTTTCTGAAGTACATTTGCCCTTTTCTGAAATACTGTTGGAAAGGGTGTAGTGTGAAACAGCCCTTATAAAATATTTACGTTTTGAAAGCGATGTAAAATAAAAGTCAGGCTTAAATATAAATACACTTGTCATAGAGAACAACTTTTCCTTAAGCTTTTTCGGCAGTATTGGGATCTCTTTAATACCAAAAAAAAAATATTTTACTAAATAATATGTAAAATATTTAAAAACTGTCATACAAATCGTAGCATTTTAATACGCCACTTACCTTGCGAGGAGACCGCACGCGAGCGTGCTAAATCAATTTTATTCGCCACCAAAATAATCGGACGAGTACGTGTCAAATCCATGTCCTGCAGTCGTGAGAGAATATGTTTGGCGCGTGTGAATGACTCCTTGTCAATGCAAGAGTAGATCACAAGAAAAGCATCAGCCTTTTCCAGTTCCTCCTGCAAAGAATTATATTTCAAAAATATTAGAAAAGTTTTTATGATAGTGTCGTTAAATGTCTAAATATTATAGAAAATTTACCTTAAAAAAAATAAAAAGATGAAAAAATTCAAGAAGAATAATGCTTCATGGAAACTATACATCCGGAATTATAAAATTTATTATAGTTTAAGACTTCCGCAAATATCCCGGAAAAAATATTAAGTTTTACATGAGCTGGGTCGTTTTGAAAATACCTCCACAAATTTAGTTTTTCTTTATAAATAAAATTAGTTTTCAAAAATATTTTTCCCAAAACAATCACATCAGATGACAGAAGAGTTAAAGCTTAAAAGCTCTGCATAAAAATGTTTGAGAATTTTATCAACGGAATAAAAATAATGTAAATTTTTGAGGTATTTTCAAATCGGTCTAGCTCGAATAAATCTTAATATTTTTCCAAAATATTACGGCAAAAGTCTATAAATACCGTTTTTTTTGTATACACCCTAACATACATATGTACATATGTATATATATATATGTAGGTGCTGTACAATATTATTAAAAAAAGGCAGCAATAGCAATTCCCACCATCAATGCTTGCCGAAATGACAGTTGAAAATGGGCACCAAGATATCTAAAAAGAAGCACAAAAATATTGCTCCCTTGTGGACGTTGGCAATAGTAAAATATTGCTTGGCTTTTTTAATTTATGACTACGAATGCTTCGAGCAGCACTCTTTCGTCAGCGACATCTGCGCCCTAATGCCATTTTATCGCTCAATCGCACTTTTCCGGAAATTGTGGAATGTAAATACATTACTTACTACAAAATGTTTCGCCTCACGTTCACATTTGTGAAAAGTAAAATATAGCGCATTTTTATGTCATTGCCACCAATTGCTAAATGTCTGGAACATTTTTGCCAACAATGTACATGCAAACTATTTCGTTAGTTTAAATGCTTTCAATTTCCATTTCCATCTCTCTCACTCCTTCTGATCTTTACATGCAATTTTGAGGCAGCTAAGGAATAGGTGCTGCATAGCGAATTGCTACGAGTACATTTCGAGCGACGTCATTTGTTTTTTCCTCAAAATAAAATGTATATACATATGTACCATCACGTCACTAAAAAGCCGCCGAGCAATATGTTTTCACCACCCTGTCGTCTGATCTATTTAACTTCTTCAATTACGTTACATTTTTCGCATTTGGCTTTCAGCCAAGGCAGGCAAGCACTCGTCGCCGCGTCTGCTGAATTAATGCGCATATTGGGCGATCATTGCTGGGTACTGTTTTTTTTTTTGACTCTATAGCAGCCAAGTTGCTGTTCTCCGCCAGAGCCAAATAATGTACAAGTACATAGACATATGTATGTATGTATGTACTTATATAAAGACGCCTGAAAACATATTGGCCGGCTGCTGCGGTTATTTGCAATTGATTTTTCGTTGCTGTAAATTTTACCATTTACTAAATTGCCTAAGCTATTTGCAGTGTCTCGTGGTACGGGTATGTTTAAGTATTTGGTATAATTTTATAAGTATACGTTGGGTTTTTCATTGCACTTAAAATTGATTGGCTTCCTCTGGTTGTAATTCTTTGAAAAATTTATGACATTTGCTAATAAAAAATTTATATTAAATAACATATGAACTTTTATTATGTATAATTTGGTAACCGTTTTTATTAATTTATAAAACACGACATATTTTTTTTTTAGCGCACGCAACATTTCAAGCAGTTTTCTCATATATGTACTTAATACCTTTCTTAATAGAGTTTTTCTCATTAGCCTTACTTCTTACTGTGAAATATTAAATTTATTTCAAATATTTCAAAGTTTTTTTGTGGATGTAAAATTTTCTTTAGTTCTGGGTCATATGGATCGCCTAGAAATATTTGTCCAATCACCATTATAAGCTTTTCTAAGGATTTTCTACACATTTATTAGTTTTCTATCCAAAATTTCTTCGTTTCTACATGGTTCGTCACTGCTCAAAATTATTAAAACTATTGCATACATTCTTCACTTTTGGTAGTAAGCCACCCACCCTCTTTATTTTAAGTTAGCGGCGGCAACACATTCACAGTTAATATCGGGCGACCTCCTTCTCTAACATAAAAGGTAATTAACACCCAGAGTATCAGCAGCATACCGATACATACCCATTCTGTTCAACTGCTTTGCAAGCTTTTTGCTGGATCCCTTTTGATCAACCTTAATCCCCTATGCTCTTGGCTTCAAAATCAAAAGATTACCGCCAAAATGATCTACCACAAGCAAATAAAGCTTATACATATCACCTTCTTGGCAGCATTATTAAGATGTGTATTCTCAACAAAAATTACTCCTAGGAATTTTGCATAACTTCGTATTTTTTACCGCCGAAAGTAGACATAGGTAACTTTTTGTGCCGGGTACCTAATAGCTTTAACAGGATTAATTGATAGTCCCTTGGGGCGGTCAATTTTTGTGTTACACGCATGACTCGGTACTGTAGCCACCTTCCATGTCACGTGAACTAAATCTTCTCTGACATTAAAAAGTGCTCACTTTTGAATAAGCACTCCAAAATATTTTCCGAGCTTACAACCTTCTATATATGTACATCCATAGGTATATTTATACGGGCGCATGCATAGCATAGATCCATAAGTACTACTGCACAACAACGAGCACTAAAATCATCTTGTCACTCCCTCCGAGAAGGATTTTACATAAACTCAACTCATCAATATCCACTTTGGACGTACATACATAAATATGCATGCATAATCAACTGCGATTGTTTGCATTACAGAGCTCCAGAATACATACATACATACATGCATACATGACATGACCATGCACCATGAAATTTCAAACGCATTCTATCAAATATTTGCAATACGGAAAATGCTTCTGGCATCGCCGCATAGGATTTGGAAGCATTCACGTATGCCTGCACGTTTGTGCTTAAATGCAAAGATTAGGGTCTTTGACTGGCGGCGTTGATGATTTGGCAGTTGATGTTGTTGTTTCTACTGACAATGCTTGTTTTAGCTTTTGTGCTTTGGTATGCTTTTGATCGGAAATTGCGTACATGCGGCGATAAACTCAAATTTGGTTTGAGTGGTTTAATTTGAATAGGTGTTTGCTGTTGAAATACATACATACACACATATGTAAATATTGGCATTATGTACATATAGAGGTATGTTGTATACAGAGGTATATCAGGAAAGTGTTATTCGCAGGGAACGGATTTTTAGGACCTAAAAACCTACAAAAAAGGCAAAATTAAACGAAACGACGAAATAGGCTGGAAAAGGCACTAGAAATCACAAAAAAGGCTTTAAAAAAAGACAAAAACCGAAAAGTAATCAGAAAATACATTTATTTTAGAAATGTTTATATTACAAGTAAAAAAAGAAAAACTATGATGTAGTTTCATTATATGTATAAAAAAATTTTTACTCTAAATTTTTGACCATTTTCTTCTTTAGAGTTCTTAACTCACAAAAATTGTATCTCTGTAGTTGTAGTAAAATTGAACGACAAGATGCATTTTGAAGTTTTTTGGCTGCATTTTTCTTCCATTTTCACGAAGAAAATCCTTGAATGTACTAAACGTGCGCTCGACGTGAGTTGATACAGTGGCGCCCAATTTAAATATGACTTTTTCCTCGCTATAATCACTTTTTCAAGGTAGAAAAAGCAAAAAAAGGCAACAACAAATGTGTATATATGGAATCAGGGAAAGCTAAATCTTTGACATTCTTCATCGAATATACTCTATCTCTTTAGCAGAAAAAAGGCAATAAACGAAGTCAATTTTTCATTTAGGAAATTTTATGTTTCCTTCATACAATATACTGCTTTTTCTTTTGAAAGTTGGGAGGGTCAAACGTCATTTTTGGTATATAGTTTGGTCGCCATTTTTTCTTAGAATTAATCGCAGAATTTGAATTTGCTATAAATTTTCTTCGAAAATTTTCTCCAAACAAATTACTCCGGCCTAATATATAACATTGTTTATTTATACGTCGATAGAATCTTCATAAAATTCATCAATATATTTATTTGATTGAGGACTAGATCCAAGCCTCTCCCATCTCAGTAGATGATAAAAGAGCTATTGACATATGAGAGTATGTACAAGGATGAATAAGTTCCCACGACAGTCGGATTTACGTAACCGAAACGACGCAGGTTTATGTATATCTGACCAAGGACAGTTCCTCCAGCTTCATTCGCAAAAAACCCTTTGAGGAATTTGTATGCTGTAGCACCAACAACGAATAAACATTGAAAATATATTTTTAAAATTTTATCCTTGAACATCCTTGAAAAACAGCAGTGTTTTTTTTTTTTAATTGCATGTTAAAGACTATTCACGTCCTCGTGACCCAACAAATTTAATTTAATTTTTACATTCTACAGAATTTTCTCATTAATTTGGTACCAATACTGTTATTTTATATTGCACTAAATTTTAAAATAACAATAAAATTTCCTTTACAAAATTCTGACACCAAAGAGAAAAAAGCCGTTTTACCACATTTGGCCCCTAGTTTCGTTTTTTCATGTGTTTTGTAACTTTTTTTGATTTTGTCGCAAGGTGTTGAATATAAAATGAATATATATTTTATTTTTTTTATGGCTTAAATAAATCCTTAGTGTTTTGGACTTTTACAATGTATGTATTTATAATAAGCTTAAGCTCCTAAAAAGTTTTCAGAGTAAACTATTCGGCTTAAGCACACTTCTACAATATAAGAAGTGTGCGATTAAGTATTTTTTTTTTTTGCATGAGACACGATATGAATTGCGTCAATCCTTTTTTCGTACATTAGTACTTATTTTTGTAGGTGATTATTTTATTTCCATTCAATTATTTATCCACTTGAATGGCCCAGCAGTTAAGTCAATCAATTGCGTCTCGATTAATGTCAAATTCGACAAACCATAATTAATTGACGCCACATTCAATTCATGCCACAAACAATTTAATGGAAAACAATCAAGAAGCTGCACACAACTACATACATACTGCATTTTTTTTTGCTCTCAATCCTTTATTTTCAACATTCCACTCAATTAGCTTATTGCTGCTGCGCCATTACACTTACCTTGTTATCCTGCTGGCCCGTCGAGAATTTCAATTCCGATTCGATGCCATTTAGAATTATTGAAATATTCTGCTCCGCCACGTCACATTCTGGAAAAGAAGGAAAAATGTAAGAAGAAGGAAAAGGCGAATGGTGAAAAAGTTGGTGAATTTATTTTTAGAAATGATGGAAAAAAAGTGTACAAAGCAAAAGGTGTGAAAAAGTCACTTGTCCTCGCAGACTGTGTGTGACATTTCAAGATTGTACAACGAAATTTAATGGGTTTGTTTAGTGCAAAAAAGCATTAATAGCAAAAAAAAAACATCCTTATTGCATTGACAATGAGCTGGCAGACATTAAAAGAGACGAGAAAATTAACTGTTCGGGCAGTCCCCATCGCCGTGGCTGATCACTGCCGCAACGCGACAAATTGTGTATATAAATCTTGCGGTTGTAATTTTGAATTGAAAAACTGATTGTTGCAGTTGGTAATTTATAGGAAAATATGCACATTTGTATGTATGTATGTATGTATTTTTCAAGGATGTTTGCGGCGTACGCCCACGCGCTATCACCAACTGCAGCTGAATCAGCGGCATTTGAGGATACACCACTGACACAAATAAGTGGACTGCGTTTGGCCACTGAACACACACACACACACACACACACACATGTATTTATTAAAAATTAAATAAGCTCAACCGCACAACACTCATTGCAAATAACGCCTCGCCCAGCAGCGACAACCGCAACGGCCAATCACACACCACGGCGTATGAGTGACAATTTAATCAAATTATTTTTGCGTGCGAATGCAATGTACGCGCGTACATATGTTGCACACATAATTTTAAAATATGCAAACATATTTGATTTAATTTCGAGTTGAAGTGGACAAATCGTTTGCGCGAGTGGCATTTGATGCTCGTAGCCAAGGCATTGCAGCGTGCGGTGTTGTGACGCAACTGGACAACATATCGTTGTGCATTTGCGATTGCAACAGGTGTTCAGTGAAATTATTTTTAATTTTTATTGGTGTGAAAATTTGCCGCCACAAAGTGAACGCAGTGTATGGCATTAGATTCCTTAGGTAATAAAGTTTTCGTTTCGTTTTAATAAAATTTAAATTGAATGCAATTTTAATTGCGGCTAGAAGTAGATTTGATAGGATGGATGCTTTTTTACATTCTAGTTACGTATATTCGGGCTCTTTGCAAAATTAGAAATCTAAATAAATACGCAAGTAATCAAATATGGGATTAAATTTTGTCTATAAGCAAGCCTTCGCAAGGTGAGGTTACGGTGGCTGAAGCCTGTACTACCGACAGGGACCCACACTTAGGTCGATATGGCTCATTTTGATGCCTTTTGATCGAGCTCATATTCTGTTCACTCACTTCTCAGGTGGTGGAACCACTTTGTTTTCTTTACGAAGCGTTGAAGACTGCGGATATCCACAGAGTCAAGAACAGCCATTGCCATTTTCACAACCAACTTATTGAAAATCTTCACAAATTCGATTGCTGCCTTCGAAGAGTTACTGTTGCTTGTAGATATCTAATCGCAGATTGACTGTCAGAGTAGTTGGTGGTAGACTGTCTGACTGGTTGCGGTACAACTGAGCCAGATGGCGGCTTCCTTTAGAGCTGTTGATTCGGCCTCAAAGATGCTGTAATCGTCGAAAAGCCGTAGTTTGGTGTTTAGGGAGAGCACTTTCGAATGCTTCCCAACCTTAATGTTCAGTTTTAAGCCAATTTTAAAAGTGGTGGTAGAGCTTGGTGGACCCAGGTCTTTGGGGTCTTAATATTCGTTTCTCTCAATAGATTTCGAACAGAAACCCCGTTTTCAAAGCAAAACAAGAGACTGGCGTAATCCAGACCGCGTATAGTTTTTGAAATAGTGTCCAGAATTATCGGGGGACCGAACCTGAGATCTCTACAGGTGCATTTGAGCTGCATTCAATCTTGTTGCATTGCAGTTGGCTTGTAAATTAATGTAAAGGTCGTGGAAAGAAGATTTAGTAGAAGACCAGGTAGTGAGAACAGCAATAATGCGGCTTAAAAGTAACATAACCCCTGGAGCCAACGGTATAGTGACTGAGAAGGTCAAAGATGCCGACAACGCATGTGCCAGTTCTTAAGCAGAATTCCTTCTAACTAATCCATGACCTATTATTGGAGACGCAGTGCACTTTGCTTAGTCCACAAAAAGAGAGATTTTGCTCTACAATCGTGGATGCTATATAAAACTCTTCATCCAACATCTAATGGGATCTTATCAGTGTAACTTTAGGCCTAGAAAATTTACCATTGATTGCAGAAAGCACACACCTTTTTCGTTGACTATATACCGCTACGTAAGTAAATAGATATATTCGGATTGGAAATTACCCTCCACGCCCTTCGACACCAAAAGAGTTTTTAGACAACGCGAATCCCTCTCGTGCGAGTTCGTCAAATTGATGTTGGAAAGCGTAATCATATACAGCTGCTTTTGTAAGCAGATAATGTTGATACCGTTGGTCTCAGTACCAGGGCTGATAGAACATTATTTATTAGAAAGAGGCGAAACAGGTTGGTCAGGCTGTGATCTAGGGCAATACAAACTACCTCCCGGAAACACACAGAGAGTCTTTGCGTATTGGGACACACGTCACTGTTGACAGTTATAACTTTGAAGAAGGGGAGGGCTTTATCTACCGAGGACCCAGGACCCTATGTAAGTTAAATTCATCTCCCTTTTGTACTTAACTTTTCTTTATTTCAATCCTCATGCGTCTTTTAAATCAAAAATGGTTCAAAACAAGTAACACATTTATTCTCTTCTAAATCAACATTTTTTTTCTTAATGTTTTATTCTTATTTTTTTCTCTTACTATGAAATTATTTATCTATTCTTCACTTTTTCCATATTCCTTTCTCCCACTCACCTGGTCCATCGTACGCATTAATGCAGTCGGACGTCCGGAATTGCTGTATTAACGCTTGTTTACCCACACCAGGCGCACCGAGCATATCGACACGAAACACCTCGACTGGCTGCTGTTGTTGTGGTTCCTCCTGTGCACTCAAATAATCGCCATTAATGCCGCCACCAACACTGCCGCTAATGCCAACACCACCAGCGCCGGAACGCGGATGGATTGGACTTATGGGCGCCAAACTGTTGCTACGCGAGCGACGACGTCGAAACGAATCACCGCGGTTGATGACGCCTGTGTGCGTAAAGCGTTCAGGTGTATGTTTGTGTGTGCGTATGGTGTGATCGGTGAAATAACATGAAAAGAGAAGAAAGGTGCAGACAAAAAAAGGATTAGTGTTAGGCAAAAAGATAATTTGAATTATGAGTGTAAAGCTATTTTTGCGGCTGCTACGTAAATATCTGAAGCTGAGTATTTTTTCAACGATTTTCTAGAAACTTTATTGTGCAGCAGCAACTTGCAGTAGCATATTTTCAATTTGTAAGCAATTAAAGTTGAAATTGAATTGGAAGTGAATTCAAATGAATTCAGGCGGTATTGTGGCGCTCATTCAGTGATACCCAGGAGTGGGTAAAGAATTTTGTGAAAACTTTTACAGCAGCGTGACTGTTTGAAGACTTTCTTGGGATTTGATAACAATAAGACCTCATTTTATTTAGTTGCATGAAGCTTAATTTAATAACGAAAATCACACAAAGAAAATATTTTTAAATTATTGTTTTCTAAAAATTTTCACTACATGCATATACGTAATTAAATTTTGTATTATAAAGGGAAGTACTTTTGAATTTCGAATATACCAATTACGCTACTGCAGTAAAAAACAGGGACCGAGAACAAAAATTATGATCGAAACTCAATGTCGTTCTCGTAGTTTTGTGCCTAAGAAACCAAAACCAAAATGAGAAGAAAACTGCCGAGAACGTTCTCAATGGGAACTATATAAGAAAACAATACTTTCGGGAATATTTCTAAGAAAAAAATTTCAAACAAAACAAAACAAACAAACAAACAAAAGTTTCCGGAACATTTTGGCAAAGAAAACGGGGGAAAAAATGTATAAGGAACTTTCTCTCGGAGAACAATTTGGGAACTAAAGTCTGAAGAATTTTCTGAAAGAGAACGAAACGGGAACAAATCTTCTCTGAACTGTTCGCGAATAATGGAAGCGAGAACAACAATTTTTCACATAGCGTTCATTAGTTTTAAATGTTTGAATACTAAACTAAATGCACAGTTCATTCTAATGACAAACGATCTGGAAGTTGAAATGATCCAGATTTCTTCTGGCTTAAAATTAACGATCGCGGTTCTCGTTGATACCATTTTCCATCTCAGTACGCATACGTCCCTGTACTCAAAACTTTTGTTCTCGATTTGTTCTTCTTATTTGATCCTCCTTGACAACGTTTTCGAGAATTTCGTTCGCATTTTGTTCTTTACGGAAACGTTTCCAAACCTGTTGTTGTCAATACTTTCGTTCCAGTTTGGCCCTTTTGTAGCAACATTTATACTCTCAACGTACTCAGTTTTGAAAACTTGTTTGAAATTTTGCAAGTAAATACCCCATAAAGTATCTTTTGATACCAAGTATTTTTTACTTTATACTTCGGTATCGAAAATGAAAATATATTAGAAAAACATATGGCTTAGCATAGGTTGGTCCGAACTTCATAAAATCAATATAAATTGATAGCTAGCAAGATTCGAGCAAAGAGAAATTTTTGGCAGAAAAGGCCACATTTCAAATGCACATTTTCTAAATACATCTCGATTATGTCAGACAGTTAGGCCGTTTTACTAGCACTGAAGCCATACATGCTGATTGCCTTAGCCCTCAAGAACCAATAATACGGTACTATTTACTCGGCGGAGTACTAAGGCATGGGGGACATCATGACTAAGAAAGGGCAAACCGCCTAGCAAAACACAGAAGTACCATAGTATTATAGGGTCAATAACTCTTTTGTTGGCTAACCAAAGCACCTACTTGTAAGGGAGAAGGAAACAAGCCAAGCAGTTTATCTTCCAAACTAAAAAGGCTAGGATCCCTAAACTCTCACTGATTATTTATCAGGACCTGTTCGTTATCTCCTCAGTGGGATCTTTTTTGAGTAATAGCCAGAATTAATATCCTTCGCTATATAACTAATTAATTATATTAATGAATCTGGTTGTATTGGTGCACTTTATTCAAATCAAATTTTAGTTGGAAGTCAATAATAAATCAATGGTGTAATAAGAAACCAACATGGCGTATGATCAACTTTACTTAGAAAGAAAAAAAATGTCCAAACGCTTTAAACCCCACCAACTGTATAAAAGCCCTCATATTCTTCTTATTTTTGATTTGCTCTGTACCCCTCTGGCTGAGTCCAATAAAGCCTCTCATCCTCCCCTTTAAATTAATCCATTGCGTCTCTTTATTATTTCTGCAAAAAAAACTAATCCCTTCACTGCAAAGGATTTTAGCAAAAATCCAACTAAGATGCAAGTACTGACCTTGCCTATCCACAAATAAGTAATTCATGGTTTTCAGATATCGATTTTCTAATACTGACAACAAAAGCTCATAGCGGGCACAGTTTTGTTTGGACGCGAGCTGATATGTTTTTGAGTAAACAGAAATATGAGGAAAAACCTCTAATATTTGTTCGTGTTAGCGTTGAAAATCCCGATGTAAAAACGGTGTCTTGCGAAATTTTGGAATTAATAAAATATAAAAAGTTAAGATATGACAAAAATAAACAAATTTAAATAAAAAAATAAATAAAAAAGAAAAAGTGAAGAAAAAAAAAAAAAAAAAAAAAAAAAATAAATATTTATGTTTTGATTTAAACCAATTCAGAAAATGTATAAAATTAAAATACACATATCAAAAAATATAAAATAGCAAAAGAAAAACAGGGCCCAAATCACTGCATCGAATTTGATTCGATCACGGATACCGTTATTCGGGCCTAGTTTAAAAAAATTTAAAAAAAATTTAATTTAAATAAAAATAAAAAAAATTAAATAATATAAAAATAAGGTAAACGATACTTATAAAAACTAAGCTTTGCACCACTTGTTTGGCAATATCTGTCGCATGCAGATGTTCAGTGTAATCCCCAATGTTGGGACCATATTCTAGATTTTTATAATTTAACAAAAAATTTACGCAGGAAACACCATTTATATGTAATACATATTAGGGGTCCAAAATTGTTTCATGGAATTCTTTGCTGAAAAAATCCCAAAGTATCGGGATTATTTTACACTATACCGAAATCAAAAAATTCAGTTTGAACTCTCACTTAACATCACTAGCACGAGTGCAATCAGTCATTTGGTCAACATGCCAAGGGGGGTGAGACCGCGAAAAACCCCGCATAAAAATGAAAACGCTGAATTGGCTGGTTTTAATTTTTCTAAAAGCCGCTTGTGATTACTACGACAAAAAAAAAACAATGCAGCCAATTCATGTCTTCGTTGTTGTCGTCACTGGGTCGGCGTGAGTGTGGTGGCGTACACTTGTGTGAACCTGTGGGCGTTATTTGTTTGTTTTGGTGCATATTTTTGAATGGCAAACACATTTTCGCCGAATTCTTTATTTGCAGGACCTTTCCAATGCTTTCAATGTCAATGAGAAAAAACGTATGTTAAGAGGAATAATTAAAATGTGAAGCAAAGCGGTAATTACTTGCTCAGTTTGTATTGCAAGACCCGCACACAAAAGTGCAAAATTACAGAAGTAAATACTAAACGTTGTCATTACCTTTAGTCAAGGAAAAAAAGGTGCATGCATACGTACCTGGGTTGCTTCTAAAGAAATCCCAAAACTATTTATAGCTGCTTTTGAAGCACGGTATTTAATGCTCTTTAAATCGTTAATTTCTTTAGTTTCACCGCTGACTGTTAATTGGCTTATTAAATACTAGAAATGAAACGATACCATGCAGTTAACGATACTTTTACTTGGAAGCAATATCGAAAGAAAGTATCGAACCGGAAAATTAGCGCATCTAAAGTATCGATACCTACTCATAACGATACTTTGGGCTATGAAGGTATTCTTAATGAACTAAATAAATTAAATTTTGTTTTTTTTTCTATCATAAGTGGGAATGCTAAACTACAAAACTATGGCCCGTAGTTATAGTTGAAAGTTAAAACCTCTTCTAGTTAAAATTAACTTTTAAGTTTAGAGCAGGCTTTAAGTTCTAGTGAGTTATAGACATGTTAGAGGCTGGTTTTTGCTAGATTGACACAAAACAGCATTAGGAAAACTAGAGTGCGCTTTTAAGATTTTAAAATCTTGTCAACCTTATTTTAAATTTAAAACGTCCTTTTAAAGTTAAAAGGTCTTTTAAGTTGCCTATGACAGTGTTAAAAGGGTGTTTATCTTAATATACAGTTTTAAATGTTAAAACCTGCCTCTAACTTGTCTATAACTATGGGCCTATATGCTTAATGCAGAATGGTATTTAACACAGGCAATTCATTGGAAAAGATTACAAAAAGTTAATCTCCTTTAAGAAAAAATTTGCTCATAAAATATTTCTGAGAAAAAGTCTTCTTTTGTTTTACTATCTAGGAATAGAAGTCTTTACAGTGGAAATATACTATTATGTACAAAAATTAGGAGTTAACTGCGGCTTTTGAAGCAGAAAACGAAGCCTAACAATATGCCCCACTTAACTATAAACAAAATAAATAAATTTGCATAAATTTTGTATAAATTTTGTTTATAGCTATGGGGCACATATTTTTAGGCGTTAAACGCGTAGAGTTATTCAGTGAGCTTAATATCGTTTTGAAACTCCTGTACTGAATATTCATTTAGTAACAGTTGGGACCGCGTATACGTCGCATTACATAGATTTTGGTGAGGCAATTGAAGCTTGTATTCTTTGCACTATATCGACTTTGTCGCCTTCTCGTAGTTTTTGCTGGCAATTAAGCAGCCATAAAGAAAAAGGCGCTTCATATTCGCACTAACAGTGGAGGAAAAATTGCCCTAGTATCGGATTTAAATACAAGTATTTATTTTTCGATACCTACTCAGTACTTGATTCAATATCGATAACAAAATTATCGGCTATTCTATTGTATCGAAAAGTATCGAGCATGTACTTGTATGCTTGTATGCACTCATATCGTTTCATCCCTACTTATTAAAATGTTTACATAAATCTGTTACATTTCTCTTTGTCTTAAGAATAAAAAGATGCCTCTTTGCTTTAAATATACAT